AAACAAACAGACAAATATTTATGTTTATAATGTACAAAAATAACTACTTAGAAACATGGTTTCTTCTCTGGTTGAGAATTTCTATTCTTCTACAGCTTTGGTGTGTCTTTGTTTGGAAAAGGGATGCTAAGCGACAAAATAAAATAAACCAGTTAAAGGAAAAATATATCTCAACCTAGCAGGTCATAAACATTAGGGCTGGGCTTTTGCACAGTGCAGAAAATCGCCAGCTGCAGAAAATCTTGCCAATCAAGAGTTTGACAGTTCAAGCCTGGGTCGGAGTGAGCTCCCGGCCATCAGCCCATATTCTGCTTACCTATGAAAACAATGTGAGCAGATAATGTGAGTAGATAAATAGGTACCACTTTAAACGGGGAGGTAATAAAGGCACTCATAAGGACATGCTGTTGGAAGGTTGCCTGTGAAAAACAAAAGCTCTGTGGCATAGAAGATGGAGCAATAGAAACCCTGTAAAGGAGGCTTGTACATTACGTACACATTCCCAACAGTGTTTAAAAAATGATAGTTTGCTCAGGTCTTCCTAAGCATTACAAATACCTGTGGTCTTTTGTTATTGCTTCGTATGTTTATTTTTCTTTTTTATTCTTATTTCTTCTTTATTTTAAGTTTCCTCTTATAATGTTAAAGTGTTAAAAGTATGAAAATCTGCATTTATAAAATACCCTCAGATAGAAGTATGCCAAACATCATAGCTGGTAAAAGCAGCTTCTGTGACAACAGTGGCTTACCAAGGGCAAGCAGTATGCTTGCTCACGCTGCTATATTGATCCTCTTTGCAGTGGGAGTAGCATTTCACACAGCTTTGTTAACTGATAGGTTGTGTTGTATTTTTTCAGTGTTGCTCAGCAGTGGCAAGGTAAGACTCCCTAAATCTGCTGGCTTGGAGTAGCTTATTTGTCCTAGTCTTAACTGCTTTCACAACTGCTATGTCAGTGGTTTCCTCCTGCTGCTGCTGCTACAGCAGGCATAGACAAACTTTGGCCCTCCAGGTGTTTTGGGCTTCAACTCCCAAAATTCCTAACAGCCAGTAAGCTCATGCCTGTGCTGCAGCTATCTACGGCAAAACAATTTCAGTGTTTCTCTTTTTTCTCTTTTACTTAAAAAACCCCACTGAGCATTCAAAGTTACTGGCCTGTGGGAAAAACACATTTTACTCAACATTTTACATAATGAAGCAACATGAAGTATAACCTAAGCCAGCATTTGAACCATGTGCTGTTGCTTCTGCACCATTAAGTGAGTTATAAAATGAATGAAAAAATTACACTTAGACCACAACACGATTGAAGTTACCTTTGCTGATGTAATGAGATCTGAATTACTGGAAAATGGACCTATAGAACTAATTATTAGTAATCTATTGGCAATTGCTTCTAAACTCTGAAGCCTAAATCTAATGCTGACACAATACTTGTATAATCCCTGGCTATGCAAGCAGCTACATATTTGCATCTGAACAAAGAGGCATCCATTTGCTCTCTGTTCCAGCCTGGAGGGCAAATATGTTGTCTGGCATGATGGTCAGGTGGTCATTATATCTAACCATAGCTCTTCTCCCTGAAAACAACCAAAAGGTATCAGTATTGCTTGTCTCAGTTTGGATGTGTCCTTCCTCATCCTTTCCCAGACCCTGCTGAACTACAACAGCAGGTACTTTTGCTCCACTGGTGTTGAATTGGATCCCTGCCTGGAAAATCTCTACTACAACAAACAAGTAGGAAAGTCACTTTCCATAAATTCACTCTTATATAATCTTGATGTACAGAGCTAAAGTTTGAAAGGAGCTTTGGATTGATAACGAAGAGGGTGAGCCAAAAGAAGAGCTACCACACTAATATTAAGGTTCAAATATTGTAAATTGCACCATTAAAAGTACACTATGTAACAAAATTTGAATTATTTTCTATTTCTTTTTTCTTTTTTTTTGGAAAGTGTAATTGTGTGGTGATTATTTTGAAAGTAGTTGTTATACTTAAGAAACTTCATTTTTGTGGCTGCCACAAGCTATGTTGAATTGATGGCGTCTCTATGAGATATTTATGGGAAAAATATAGCAAAATGTGCTGCAAGATGTCCTGCGAAAACAAAGTTTTTGCAATTTAATAAACTTTTCCCATGTTTTTATGAAAGAACCAATTAGGACATGACGTTTATAACCCTGAAACAAAAATCATATTACATAGTGTTATAAAGACATGATAGGTTTGCTTTAGGGTTGCAATGAGTCAGAAATAACTTGAAGGCATAGAACAACAACAAAATAAAGGTGAACATTTCCTTTCAATTTGTAAATATAATTAAATCTTGTTTGGATCAAGATTAAGTCTTTCATTCATATACAGCCACCAACCATCAGATACCTACATCAAAATACATAGCATTATACAACACATTATATGATTTAATATTCAAGATTATATTCACAAATCCTAAGTCAGCAAATGCTATTTTAAATTAACCTTAAAATGACAGGAAGGGGAGCACCATCATTTAGATTTATTATGTAAGAGCCATGTCCAGATTTGTGGAAAGGAAAAAAGCAACCAAGCTTCAGTAATGCTCTGAAGTTTTCACATAAAATGAGAGGTTTCTCGGGGCATATGGCTTCAATTGATCACATACATCCTCTTAAATACAGTCTTTGTTCTGAGAAGCAAGATCAGTTTAATCAATAATACATTTGGCCACTGCTGAGAGACAGAACAGAAACCATTCTTGTGACCCTTAAAAAACAAAACAAAACAGTACTGTCTTAAAACAAAGCCCCCCTACTGATAGATTGTAGAACTGGGAACAGTTTTGGTTGCTGAATAAAAGAGGTGCATTTAATAACAGTATTTGCTGGAATGACAAGACTCCTTGAAAAGAACAGCCATTCCCAATATATATTCTTTCCAAAACCAATGATATCCCTTAAATGCAATGCTGGTAAAACTTTCAGAAAAGTTAGAGCCATAAGGAATAAATTCCAAGTTTTTCACATAGGAACCATACGAGTTTTTAAACAAACTACAGAAGACAACAACAAATCAAATAAATCTGAAATAGAACAACCTCAGTAATAATCTGTTTCTCGTACATTTGTCATTTTGGTTTCATCAGAGTACCTTTATGGACTGAGATATTACAATAAACTATGTTGCCATGATATTCCTGTTAGATAGCTATAGAGGCATAAATTTTCAGGCTGTAGTGGGTTGAGGTACATAGTTTGACTTTCAGAAAGTATATGTTTCAAATAAAGTCGCAAATGCCAGAAGTTTGTTTTTAAAAATAAAAAACTTAGTTTATTCTTTTGGGGACTCATTTAATAGAATCCGAAGCATGCATAAGGAATACTGAGTTGGAAACAATACTGAAGAGGAAATTACTCTCGCAAACCTGAAATTGTCTAACTTTTTGTCTAAATGATGCTCAGACACTTGCTGGCAACAAAAATATGAGGAATGTTGATACTCAGGACCCTTCCAGACAGGACCTATATCCCAGGATCTGATCCCAGGTTTTCTGCTTTAAACTGGATTATATGGGTCCGCACTGCCAGATAATCTGGAATGAACAAAAAAACCTGGGATCAGATCCTGGGATATAGGGCCTGTCTGGAAGGGCCCTCAGAGTCACATCACTTATAATCAAGGCTTCTGCAATAAACTGCTTCGCAATGCACACAGAACATGCTTTGCACAGAATAGCCTAATTTAGAAAAGGCAGATAGGTAACATCAGTTCCTACTACAAAACTGTTACTGAAGTACCACATGTTGCAAACAAAACACATATTTAACCTGACCTCATGGCAGTTTGAAATCCATGAGAAAAAATACACACACTTAAAATGAGTATCTGAAGTCTTTCATTCTGAGTAAATAACTACATATCACTATGTGAAATTCTACAGAAATCTATGCCTAACTACACGTCTACATTCTTCTTAGGTCAATCATTATATCAAAACCCACCAGAAGCCTATACTTGGTCAATGTGTAAGATTCTACATTTCAAATGAAACATTTTATATATGAGGGAATCTGGGTTACAGGAATTACAGCTAATTTGTTGTTACTTGGGGTGCTGCACACACTGTTCTACTTCATTGTGACAAAACTATTTTTCCATCTCAGAATCTCTAAGATTCCAGTGGAATCCAGCCAGTACATATCTTAATAGCCTAGCAAGATTCTGACCATAATGTATTTTGATTTGACATCAAAATTCAAGTAAAAACATCTTGAATCTTTCTTTTTCCAGAAACAGAAATCAGTTACAAAACCAAGGACAAACTACTTATCTGGCCACTAGCTGTTAACAACTACAATTCATTATCTGATAATCACAGCTTTTTTGTCTGAAGTCTTAATCAAAAAGGTTACTTTTAACATCTTAGAAGGTTAGATCATTACTGCTGTTCATCAGAGGAGAAAACAGATAATCATGAGGCATTCCTCAAATTGCAGTGAGATAAAACATCTGAACATTTTAAAGACAAGTTTACAGTGGTCTTCACATTTTTGTGTCAACTTCTCTTGAACTTATCTTGGGTGGAAGATCAATAGCTGGTTTTGTAGTATGCTGCCAAAATAATTTGCTCGGTTATTTTATGTCATCTGATAAACCCCCTGGCAACTTATTTTGACAATACAGAATTATTGTATTTTTAAAATTAATTTTACCTGTGAGCCGCTTTTGGTCCAAATTCAGGAGAAAGGCAGCATATAAAAGCAAGCAAGCAAGCAAGCCAGATTTTATGTTAGAAAATATAACTATTCAGTTGCATCTATAGTGTCCATGTAAGAACATGTGGTAAGTCAATAAGTAGATCAAACCACTCTTTCAGAAGTAAAGCTTTTTCCTAAATCAGATGTTTGTCTTTTAAAAGAAAAAGTGTTCTTTTTAAAGGGTTCATTCATTTCAATCATTATGAAAAAGTAATGAAAATTGACCTGTTAGTATCTCTAAGAAAGATCATGATATTAAGCCTACCTGACTAGGTTTTCATTGTCTCCAGTTCCCTTACATGTTGCACATTCAGTTCTTAAATCTTCAGATTTGGGCTTCTTTTGTAGTATAGACTGCCTCTGTCTTCTTTCTCTAGGAATACGTTCCTATCAGTAGGGGAAAACAGAAGAGGCAGAAAAATTTAGTTTTTACAACAGTATTGATCTAAATATCAACAATTCAATAAATTTAGTTCAAAATAAATAAAATTGCAATATTCCAACCTCAGGTTTTTCTTCTTCTGGAAAATAGCTTCGTTTTCGTCCTCTCGTTCTCTAGAAATAAATATATTTTAAAGTTAATTATCATTGATGGAGAAACCCAAGATTTTAATATGGGCAAGATTCAAAACAAATTCTTGCCTCCAAAAATACTGTAAAGGTAGCTTTTTTAATTCAGTAATTCTTCAGTTTGCTTGTTTAAAAACATAGCCTTAGAAAGCCAAATAACAAAGCAAATGCCACTCATTACCTCTCTATTTCAGGTCACAGGAGGTTATGGTTGAGAAAGAATTAATTAAGTCTTAAGATGAGTCAACAGTAGTTTTCACTGAGCAGCTCAGATAGGCTCTGAGTTGTTTACCAACAGTGTTGTTATGATGGGCATTTACGTAATTCTGATTCATCCAAACCAATCACTTGTCAAGGTTTACTCAGAAATTTGCCATGGTCTTCCTCTAAGATTAAGAGAGTGACCTGCCTAAAATCATCCAGTGGATTTTCAAGGTTGAGAGGAATTTGAGTCCTGAGACTTAGTTTAACGTTAAAGCAACCACACTAGAGTGGTTCACCTTACAAATGGTGCATATTCTTAATTACAATTCAGGTGTATTGTTTGAGGTATTAATTGTTAAAACGTTCTGGCTACATATTGGAGCAATTTTCAGATTCGGATTTCACTACAAATGACATGTTCCTGGATCCTAAACTTTGAAGGGGTCAATGAACACAATTTCGTTTCTGAGTAATTGATTTTCTAAGTATAGACAACTTTTCACTCAATATAAGCCATGTTGATTTCAGTAAGATATATCTAGATCATTTAATGGCCATAAGTTTTGGTTTGTACTCATACCCATCTTTGTTTTTAGCAAAAGTTTCTGGATAATTTTAGGGCTTTTATTTTCATTGGGATTTTAAACTTAATTTTCTTTGTACAGCAGGTCCCCTCAAAATACTTTTAAAACTTTAATATTTCTTCCACTGGGGGATTTCTAAAGAGAGTTGCCATGAAGCATTAGAGATGAAGTGAGAGCTACTGTTCAAGATTCATTTGGGCAATAAAGATGAGTGATCATTTTATTTGAGTTACTGAATCGCCTTTGGGCCGATATGGGCGGGATAGAAATAGTATAAATAAATAAATAAATTTTGCATATTGTGTCCAATCAGTTTTCCTAAACAGAGCCTTTTACAACTTCTGAGACCCTTTAAGACTACTAGAATATGAAATAGTATTTTATTTTTGTTTGGGCCCCAATGGTCCCCAATTAATGACACAGCACTGCACTTTCATCCCATGCTCTTGTTCTTTAGCTACAGTTTGCACTATCCCATTTCCATGTCTTGTTTACAGTTTGGCCATGCCTTACAGCAGTTGTCACCATAGATGTTGTGTTCTGAGTTGTTCTGAGTTTTAAATTGTTGTTTTTATGTGTTATTGGTTTTACCTTTTTGTACTGTACCATGTGTTTATTTTATGCATTGTTTTTAGGCACTTTGTGTCATATGTAAGCTGCCCTGAGTCCCTTTGGGGAGGTGAAGGCGGGGTACAAATATAAAGGTATAATAATAATAATAATAATAATAATAATAATAATAATAATGGGCTGATACTGTCTTTATTTTATTCAAAGCTCTTCACATTTGTATGACATTTGTAAAACAAGGAGGCGATAGGACCTCTTCGAGGAGAAGATGGGGCAATGCTGACAGGGGATAGGGAAAAGGCAGAACTACTTAATGCCTTCTTTGCCTCGGTCTTCTCACAAAATGAGAGTCTTCAACCTCAGCAAGATGGAGTGGATGAGGAATTGGAGGACATCCAACCCCAAATTGGGAAAGAAGTCGTCCAGGAATACCTGGCCGCTCTTAATGAGTTCAAGTCCCCAGGGCCAGATCAACTCCACCCCAGAGTATTGAAGGAACTAGCGGAAGTCATTTCGGAACCATTGGCAACCATCTTTGAGAGTTCTTGGAGAACGGGAGAAGTTCCAGCAGATTGGAGGAGGGCCAATGTGGTCCCAATCTTCAAGAAGGGAAAAAAGGATGACCCAAACAACTACCGTCCGGTCAGCCTCACGTCGATACCGGGCAAGATTCTGGAAAAGATTGTTAAGGAAGCGGCCTGCAAACACTTAGAAACAAATGCAGTCATCGCTAATAGTCAACATAGATTTATCAAAAACAAGTCATGCCAGACTAATCTGATCTCTTTCTTCGATAGAGCTACAAGCTGGGTAGATGCGGGGAATGCCGTGGATGTAGCGTACCTGGATTTCAGTAAGGCCTTCGACAAGGTCCCCCATGACCTTCTGGCAAGGAAACGAGTCCAATGTGGGCTAGGCAAAACTACGGTGAGGTGGATCTGTAATTGGTTAAGTGGACGAACACAGAGAGTGCTCACTAATGCTTCCTCTTCATCTTGGAAAGAAGTGACAAGTGGAGTGCCGCAAGGTTCTGTCCTGGGCCCGGTCCTGTTCAACATCTTTATTAATGACTTAGATGAAGGGCTAGAAGGCATGATCATCAAGTTTGCAGACGACACCAAATTGGGAGGGATAGCCAATAGTCCAGAGGACAGGAGCAGAATTCAAAACGATCTTGACAGATTAGAGAGATGGGCCAAAACTAACAAAATGAAGTTCAACAGTGACAAATGCAAGATACTCCACTTTGGCAGAAAAATGAAATGCAAAGATACAGAATGGGTGACGCCTGGCTCGAGAGCAGTACGTGTGAAAAAGATCTTGGAGTCCTCGTGGACAACAAGTTTAACATGAGCCAACAATGTGATGTGGCGGCAAAAAAAGCCAATGGGATTTTGGCCTGCATCAATAGGAGCTAGTGTCTAGATCTAAGGAAGTAATGCTACCCCTCTATTCTGCTTTGGTTAGACCACACCTGGAATATTGTGTCCAATTCTGGGCACCACAATTGAAGAGAGATATTGACAAGCTGGAATGTGTCCAGAAGAGGGCGACTAAAATGATCAAGGGTCTGGAGAACAAGCCCTATGAGGAGCGGCTTAAAGAGCTGGGCATGTTTAGCCTGAAGAAGAGAAGGCTGAGAGGAGACATGATAGCCATGTATAAATATGTGAGAGGAAGCCACAGGGAGGAGGGAGCAAGCTTGTTTTCTGCTTCCTTGGAGACTAGGACGCAATGGAACAATGGCTTCAAACTACAAGAGTGGAGATTCCATCTGAACATGAGGAAGAACTTCCTGACTGTGAGAGCCGTTCAGCAGTGGAACTCTCTGCCCTGGAGTGTGGTGGAGGCTCCTTCTTTGGAAGCTTTTAAGCAGAGGCTGGATGGCCATCTGTCAGGGGTGATTTGAATGCAATATTCCTGCTTCTTGGCAGAGGGTTGGACTGGATGGCCCATGAGGTCTCTTCCAACTCTTTGATTCTATGATTCTATGACATATAGCAGCAGGTCATATGGAGATGGATCTAAACACGATGAAGGTGAACTGCTATTTTACTCTTGATAGTCTCAGCAGTGGAGAGAATACCTGGTGAAACGGTGATGCAACATGCCTTCTGATATGAAATACCTATTATTATTATTATTATTATTATTATTATTATTATTAATTTTAAACGTGTGTCCTTTGTTTAATATTTTTTGTTTATTTTAATATGTATTTTATAGAAATACGTTTTAATATGTGTCTTTTATAGAAATACATTTTATATGTATATTTGTGGTATTTTTCAATGTTTATGTGTTTTAATTATTCTGTAACCGCCACGAGGAGAGGTGGGTAAGAAATAAAATTATTATTATTATTTGCTGTGTTCCTGTATGCAAGGAAATACTTGATCCTGTGACTATAGTAAATGAAAAAAGTAACTAAATGGAGCACAGAAGGAATCAGCTGCATGCTGAATTTGGCCTGGGAGGAGGTCTAAGCAGGTATTTTACGTACATTGACCTTTGCTGAGTGACTCAAGGGATTCATGTCTGGTAATCCAAACAAGTCTTAGCCCCAACTCTGATCTTTGGGTATTCAATCATAGTTAAACACAAGAAGTGTTCCTGAACTTAGGGAACTCCAACTGTTCAATGTTAACTAGGGCAATTAAGTCAACTCCTTATGTCAAGTTATACAGTTTTAGATTAATGTGGGTAGAAATGCAGAAACACACTGCTGCCAACAGCTATTAGCAGATAGTCCTGAAGTTACCATGCTAATGATATATAAACATTCATAGACATATGGAAGTACCAACACTTTTTTTAAAAAAAATTATGAAACAAGCAAGCATGAAAAACAAATTGTATATATGAGTGCTCCTTTTATAAAAATGGAACTCTGCGACATATTTCCACAAAGTGCAACACCATCTGCTTTCACTGGCTACTGGCATATAGCAGATGGAATGGTTATCACACCAGAAGTGGCAAGTACTTTAACACTGCCAATTGGTGGTGCAACATAATTTAATTTAGTTTATACTCACAATGTCATGCGAAGGAAACCAACTAAAAAGAACAAAGCAGTGAACCAAATAACATTCTGTTACGTTTACATAAAAAGCCTGTTTAAAATCAGTAAACATCCATTTACACTAGTGTATTGTCTTGGAATGAATCTTGAGTATTTAAAAATGCAGCATAAAGGCTTAGCAATAACACTATAATCTTTCTCAGTTTCTTCAAAAATCTTGCAATTTTTGTTTAGGAAGGTCTAAGAATCTATCCACTAGAACTGTTATGACTTGACCATCTCAGCTAATAATGGTTTCTATTAGACTGGATTGGATAAACTTTTCCAAAGAAAGATTTGTGGTTGTCAGCTATAACTCTGATGAACAGGGCTCAAAATTTTGCTTGCCTACTGCATTTTCATATTTATTTACTTTATTTATATCCCTCATGGTCCCACCACTGTCACAAGAACGGTTGGTGGGAACGAGGGAGAGGGTCTTCTCAGTGATGGTCCCCTGACTTTGGAACGCCCTCCCTAGGAGATTAGACACGCCACCACACTGTCCTCCTTCTGGAAGGAATTGGATGTTGAAGACTTGGATGTTTAGACAAGCCTTTGAG